AAATGAAATAGCTTATCGTCCAATTCAAAATTATAACCAAACCATCGAAACCGAAAGAGGCTGCAAGAACAAAATAGTGGCTCGTCCTAAAACAACACTGTCAAAGCAACTATCAAAGATTATTATATTGTTCAACTTAAGTACAAAGTCAAGTGTCTCCTAGGATATCAAACAAGATGGACCGAAAAATGATGTGATATAATCTCATCTTCAAAAAATTTTAAATTATATATTTTTAGATATTTTTTATTAATTCACTTTTTAAAATTTTATAATTTCACACCTCAAAAATTTTAATATAAATTTTACATTCGTACTTCTAATATAAAATCTCATTGATTTTTAATATTTAATATATTTAATCCATTACCCAACGTGTTAATATTAAATCTTCTCAATTCGTTCAGGTCTAGAAATGAAATGTGAAATTGAGAAAAATGTGTTTAAAAACCCTAAATCTGATTATGAACTATATTGAAGACAATTTATCTCTAATATTTTTTTAATGTATTAATTATCGAGTTGATCATTTTCTATTTATATTTATACACTTTTATTAATCGAATTATATGTATATATATATATATATCAGTCACTTTCTTTATCAATTTCAATTTATTAAATTTTGATCACCTGTGTTATCACTTGTTATATTTTGATCACTTAATCGTTAATTCATGTTAGTTTGATGACATGACACATTAGTTTAAAGTGATTAATTTTTTATTTAAAATATGAATTTAGAATACTAATTTGATTCTTAAATTTTAAATGAAATATCATTTTAACCCCTAAACTTTATATAAAATATCAATTTGACCTCTTGAATTCGACCAAAGTCTTCAGTCGTCAGTCAATACTCACCACTGTCATTGTTTATCACTATCGATTGCCTTTGCGGACGACCGTTAGGCCTAAAAGGAGGATGTATGTTTAGATATAGGAATGGAACTATTCGAGTATCAAACAAAAAGGAGGGGTTTGAAGTTAATGGCTGAGATTGGGTTTTAAAAGATCCTAGTCGATTTAAGCTACCATTCAACTCGAATCAAAATTTAATGTAAATCATTCATTACTTCATCTTGATTTTCTCTTCAGAAAAATAATATATTATTTATATTTAATATTTCTAAATTTACAAACTAAATTTCTAAATTTACAAACTAAAATAATCACAAAATGGATAAAAAAAAGAGGTGCAAAGTGCTGCAGAAACTACATAATTGTGAGGCAAATCTCGTCGAGTCAAAAGTACCAATAGTAGATTTTTTGGGGTATTTACCGGGAATGTCATTATCTCCCATTCCCTTAGGTATTGTAACATTACCGACGTTTTGGACTAAAATGCCCTTAAATTATTATTGTTTTTTCAAAAATATTTCTGTCATTGAATAATAAAAATTCTACGAAGGTTAAATACAAAATTTATCCTTAAATTATTTTAGATTTACAAAAAAATCTATAATTAAAATTTTATACGAAATTCAGGGGTTAAAAGAATTTACCCTTTCATTAAACCTTTTTTATATTTTTAATTTTGTAAAAAAATTATATAAATATTATGAATTTAATTTTTTAAAGAAAATATATAAATATTTTACAATTTGTATTATACAAATATATAATAAGGACAATTTGGTCAAATATACATTCAAATAATCTTTTATTCCTTTAACCAAACACGGTAATCTTACATTCCTGCTAAACCAACCAAACACAAAATACAATATTCCCAATAATCCTATTCCCTGATAATCTTTTATTCCCACTGGTAATGTTACATTCCGTGAACCAAACACACCCTAACCTTCTTTATTTTACAAGGTATAAGTGCTTAAAAACTGTGCGTTGTTATTTTATATAAAAGACAAATTAAAAATAATCAATAAAAATAAATATTTTAAAAAAAATGAAACGTTCATCCTCACGTTTTATTGAACCCACCACTACAAATATATAATTATATTTTTTGTTCAAATGTTGAGTAGTATTCAATAGTTTTTTTATTATAATATATACATATTTATTACAAATTATTAATGTATTTGATATAATTAATTTATCGAATATTAATTTAATTAAAAATAGTTAAAATATAATTTATTGAATAAAAGTTAATAATTATATAATTATGTTTTTATCTTTTCATACATTGTATAATTTTAAATGGAAAAAATGTATATTTAAAAAATAGAGTAATATGCACGAACCAACCTACCTCAATGGTTAGAAGAATTACTATTAGAGAAAATAACCAACTTTTTTTGGATTTGTCAAAATGACCAACAATTCGCAACGCGATCTCTAAAAAGATTAATTCGTGCGGACGTGTCGAAGACTCGTATTACCACGACCACGACCACGATCACGACCACGAATTTGCGATTTTAACTTTCGCGTTTTTGGAGTATCGCGTTGCGAATTTCGACTATCGCGTGCGAATCTTAAAATCGCGTTGCGAATTTCGACTTTCGCATTGCGAATTTGACTTTCGCGTTGTGAATTTGGAACATGGGTTGCAAAATTTGAATTCACATTGCGAATTTGAGATCGCGTTGCGAATTTGTTAGTCATTTTGGTAAATCCAAAAAAAGTTGGTTAAAATCGTATATTATAAGGCATTTTCGGTCACTGAGGTTATTTTCTCTTACTATTATCCTCAGGTACGGAGTCAGGATTAGGAATTGATAGGGCCAAAATATTAAACTTTTTAAGAAATATATAATGACTTATTAGGTATTTAAACTTAAAATTCAGAAGACAATGTCTAATTTGTGTAATATTTTAACTTATAATGACATAAATTGTTATTAGACCAAAAAATCGAGAACATTGGATTATCATTTGTTAGTTCGCCCCTGCATGATTAAATAGTTAATATTTTTTTAATCTGAATACTTATTTTTACATGATTTAAAATACTATTAAATCAAAATCTATCGAACATAAAAGAAATTTACAAGATTAGGGGCCTTTAGGCCCCAAGTGAATTTCGTTTTAGGCCCCAAGTGAATTTCGTCTATGGTTATCTTTAGAGATTTTGAGTTCGAACATTAACGATCACAAAATATTTACGTTCATTATAAAATAATTGAAAATATTATATATATATATATATATATCAATTATATTCAAGTCAACTATAATTATTTGATTGAAAAAATATTTTTAAAAAATATTTTTATTAAAACGTAGACAAAGTCATTATCATTGTGCATTTGTAAATAATGAAATGAACACGAAACCCGGTTTCATCTGTTTCCTAGCCACGTTTCACTGCACCCGAGACAAACGTGTCCAAACCTTGCATGTCCCATGCACGTATAAAATAAAATTTAACGAATTTTATATTAATTATTTATTAAAGTAATAGTGTTATATTAATTATTTATATTAATAGTGAAATAAAATATTATAAATTATATTAATTATTTATTAAAGTAATACTGTTATATTATATTTTAAAAATATTATTATATTTTTAAATATCTTTATTAAAATATATTAAAATATATAATAATATTTTTTTTTGGATAAGTAATTATATTCCATCAACAAAAAAAAAACAGACTGCTACTACAATCAACAAGTTACCTCAAAACAAACCCCAATTCAAACATAACTGCCTGTTAACATCATCAATCCTAGGCTTACCATATCTACTCAACTTAACTCTAACAGCTAACTTTATACTATTAACAATTAACAATTTTTGTTTGAAGAAGAGTATTTTAATAAAATAAAACATTAAAAGATAAAGTGCTTAAAAATTCCACATGTAACAAGTACTCATTAGACTAGTTGAAGAATATGTCACGGAAGTAAGGGTCTGTTTGTTTGGTTGTAATTGATTTTTCGGAAAATGAATTACTAGAACTGGAAAATGAATTACTGGAATTTGATCCGGAAAATGTTTTTTGTAAAATGAATTACATTTTTCTGAAAAACATCTGGAAAACGTTTTATGATATTTGGAATATGTTATTTAAACATTTTTTCCACTAGTTGAAGAGTTTTTTAAAAATTATTTATTACAAATATTAAATATAATAAATAATATTATTTATCATAAAACTTAATATTATTATTTTAAAATATTAAAATAATTTATTTATTATTAAATATTATTTTATAATTTTATTAATAAAAATATTAATTTTGTATATTTTAGTGAAATAAAATATTATATTAATTAATTATTTATAAAAGTAATAGTGTTTATTATATTTTAAAAATATTAATTAGTATATTTAATATCTTTATTAAAATATTATTTAAATATATAAATATATTTTCATTATTAAATATATAAAAATTTTATTATATATTATTAAAATAAAAATATAATCTTATATTATTATAATATAATTTATATTTTATAATATTAAAATTATAATATTATATTATTATAAATACTAATAAATAAATAAATAATATTTTGATGAAAATGATATTAAAATATTTTATTAATATTAAATTCATAAAATAAAATTATTTTGAGTATTTATTCTTTGAAGTGAAAAGTTCGGAAAATAACTTACGGAAAATGAATCTGTAAGTCATTTTACAGAAAACACAAAGGAAATTATGTTACTAGAAAAATGAATTACATTCCGAAAAATGAATTACGTGAAACAAACACGAAAATTCGTGAAAAATCAATTCCGTAATTCCAATTACGGCAAACAAACATACCCTAAGTGTTGGATTTCAAGGATATGCAAATGAAGGTGAAGAAGACAAGTTGAAGACGCTTTCCTTTTTCCTTCTCCAAGCTTTGTCAATGATGAACACTTCTCTTTTCTATACAAAAATTGAACTGCCAAAAATTCTACATGTAACAAGTACACATTATACAAGAATTATCCCAAAGAACAAAACTTGGCCTTGTCCTAATGTACAAACTGCTGTTACATCGTTAGTATGATTACAATGATACAAAAAAAAAAGCATGTCATAATATCAGCTTTTTTATAAAATATTTTTTTTATTAAAAATGGTTGTTCTCAAGAGCTAGTGATAACCTTTTCTAATGTGAGTTCCTCGGCGATGAGTTTGAGCAAAACTGGTACCAACTCTCTCACTCTAGCTTCCCTGTCATCCAAGTCGATTAGGGTTTGGCTTTAGTAAGAACAGGAATAATAAAATCCTATGTTGATCACTCTTTGAAATATGATCTTCCAACAACCCTTTTAATATGTTTTCACATCTTAAAATTTTATAAACTCGTTCCCTCTTGAATTTTTAGAAATTCTCTCCTAATCCTTGGAAATAAATGATAATGTCCACGCAGAACACAACCCGTGCTAGGCACTCATACTCGATTCCGAGGAACATAGTTAAATTTATTGGATGGAGAAGAAACTTAGAAAGAGGTAAATTGTCAAAATTGTTGGGAAAATAATAGTTTAATTTAATAAAATTGATGCTATTTATAATAAGTCATGCCACTTGGTAAATAGACTTATTATAATAAGTCATGTCACTTGATGAATGAACTTATTTTTTAGTTTAAATTGCATCCATTTAATTATATCTATTAACTTTTCAACAATTCTTTTCATGAAATGCATTAACTATTCATCAAAAGATTCTAATATTTATTAACTATTCATCAAAAGATTCTAACATTTTGATTCATATCCCCTCAGATAGGTTAATTAGTTGAGGCACAATCTTAGACACAACTTTGAGAGACAAGTTTAGGACACAATTCACAAAGTTGAATTAGGAAATCACTTAGAAAATTCCTTTCAAATGTGTTCTTTCTGGTGAAAGAGAAAGACAAGATTGTGTTCGACTGTTCATTACGGTTGTGCTTACTGTTGTGATCGTTTGTTGTTGTATCCTGGGAGACCGACGTCCAACGTTACTCAAAGCACCTAGGAGATGACGAATTTGTCTTAAGGAAATTGTTCATTCAGGTCTCAACAAAATTCTTCTTCAATTTATGTTACTCTACTTATCCGATTCAGTGTCTAAATATGAGTAAACTAATTTTTTGTCTCTACTTTATGTTTTATTTATTTTACTTCGTTCGAAGATAGAATATTTATTATTATTAATATTGTTATTATTATTATTATTATTATTATTATTATCTCGAGTTAACATTTTTTCTAACAAAAAGTTGTGTACCTTGATACAACTAGTTCACAGAGGGTGGGGAAAAGAAGCAGCAGATGTGATCGGTTTTTGCGGTTCCCCTCAGCTAGGCCAGTTTTCAGATGCGGGCATAGAGAAAAAAATAGACGCAGTGTCTGCATGAACCACCAGGTCAGCCAGTTCATGGAGGACAAAACTTACTTCCGTGAGCCTTGGTGTGGGTAGCGGACGATCACCTGCGGCTCAGTCAAATTAGGGTTCGTATTTGGTAGCAGCAAGTGAAGCCAATGTAAAACAAGTTAAAATTTGAATATTTGTTTCCAAACGGAACTATGCTTACCTAGATCGTTTTCGTCGGCTAAAAATCTAATCAAGATGCATTCACATCTAGTCATTGGTACCATGATTGCAGTTTTGCTGACCTCGGATCTCGTACAACTCCAATTATCCGTTCCCGGTTCTTCGATGAAGCTAGAAAAATGTTGACCAAAGATCAAGATATTTGAATAAAAACAGAAATTTAAGTTGCCTATAGATGATTAAAGGATGGTCTTAAGGTGCAACAGGAAAAGGATATTAATTCCAAATGCAAGAGATGCTCGCAGGGAAAATAGAAACATGATGAACTCTGGCTCATGAAACTAGTCAAATTTAACAATTTCAAATGCTGCATTCTTGTTTACCAATAAAATAATACAAAAGGTTCTCAGAATGGCCATGGACATAAGGACATTTCTATTTTTAAAAGAAATAAAAAAATTAAATAAACTGGGCTTTTTCGGTAGAAGTCTGCATGAATGTCATCATGCAACAAAGGAGATTGTAGTCAGCTTTTATAAACTCGGTTATAAAGTATGTTATAAAAAAATATAAATAAGATTCAAAATAATTAATACATTATTTTTTTTGAAAAATGGATTTCTTGTTTAATTTAAAATTTGGAGTCGGCATCAACCTTTGAGTTAGGTAGATCGAATACCTAAAATATCTTTTAAAAATTAAAAAAAATATTTTAAGACAAAAAAAATTGGTTTGTGTTTACCAAAGTTCAGTTAAAAGGGGTCAATAATCGGTTACGTGCGGCGAAGGGTAAGCACCCACACAATGCCCAAATATTGGTACATTTAATTATACGATGTCTAAAACGATGGAATTTACACATTTAAATTCAAATTTTAAAATTACAATTCTTCCTATTTCTATGAATTTTTAAAAGGAGTGAATTTCATTCTTTGAAAATGTTCAACTTGATAAAATCACTTTATTCACTCGATATCATTTAAAGAAGGATGTTCTTTTATTTCGTGAATTAACAAAATTGAAATCCAATTATGTTGGACAAAATTTCATTAATCCACGACGTAAGTTAACATTGCCTTTAAACTTTTAAAAGGATGAAACATTATATCATGATATATGAATATGATAATAATAAACAATCTATACAGAGAACAAAAAAATTTAATCACAAACAATGAATAAAATGATAACATAAAAAAATAAAATAAAATAATAAATAAAAATAAGATAAAATAAAAATAAAAATCAACCATAAAAAATAGATAACAAGAAATAACTAAAAAAATAAAAGGGACACGAAAAGAAAGAAAATTGGATATTTTATATCATATGAAACTGAGCATGCAATTTAAAATGTTAGGGATATAAATAACATGCTAATTAGCAAAGGATTATTTAAAATAAATTTAATTAATATAATAAATAGCAACTAATAATATCAGAATGATTTTTACGAAAAATTGCTTGAAAGGGCAATTCAGGTATTTGGAGGTCTTCCCTAGATTAGTCGAACAATTAACAAATAATATCAAATATTTTCGAACAAAATAAAATAATTTACACAATAAATTTGGTTAATATGAATATTTATAGAAAATTTTCAAAAGAAAATAAAAATAAAAAAAAGAACTAAAAACTAAAAAAACAAGGAAATTATAAATAAAATTTATAAAACATGTAAATTCTTCTAAGGATTAAATCTAAACCATAACAGTTTAAGGGGATCAAAATGGGTATTAACATATTTCATTTTTATACACAAAGAGGATTAGAATACATACGAAACAAGATTAAGGGATTCGAATTGCAAATAAACAAGGTTAAACTTGAGATAAACACAAGACTACAATAAAATTAATGTCAAATGGGTGAAAATAGCAATTAACCCGGAGATACCCGAATAAAATAACGAGGACTAAAATAGAACTATCTTCAAATTAATTAAGCAACCTCGAAATTAAACCCTAGGTGATAACTAACGAATGGTGACCAAACTGTAAATATGAAAACTTTTAAACATAGTAAGCAGAATTTTACCATTTACATTTGTGACTATAATGGAATCTTACAGAAATAGAGTGACCAAAAGCGAAATTTCCCCTATACTTATAAAAACACAGGTGAGGGAGTGCCAAAACGATGTTGTTTTGCCTTAGGGTCCATAAGGTCTTACCACTAGGCCCAAGAGCCCACCCAAGAGTTGTCTTAGGTCCATAAGGAATTATCAGTCGGTGCTGAACCTGTACAAGGAATTACCAACAACGACTGAACCTTCCAGTGTCTTCATACCAGATCCTAGAATACCCCGAATAAAAACATTTTTTTTAAGCAGTAACTAGTGATAGCAGTAAATCAAACTTCAGACAGATAATTAATTAGTAAAACAATAACCATATATCATAAGTCAAGAAATGATGCTTTAAATTTTAGTAAATCATGAATCATTCTTCAAATCAGGTAAATTATACAGTAGTCAAATTGTATCAAACATTATATTCCAAATCAGAGAAAACAATCATGTGCACATGATATTCAAACATATATATAACAGTTATTTAAAATAGTATTGCACACAATGAACACACCTCGCAAAAATGGATCAGTCCGAAAGATCTAACGAGCACCTACTTCACTAGGCTCTTCGACTGAACGGGAACCTAAGCCATATCAGAACATGGTCATATACATAATAATATTCTAAACAGAATATCTAACAGGGTTACAGACTATACGGGTATTCATGACCTCTCGCGGACAACGGATCAGGAGGAACCAAGTTGAGCAGTAGAACGGTCAGGAGATCCTCGAGTACCTTAATATACCCATAACAATAATTAGTCCTCAACCCTTTCGATTAATTTAATTGAATAAAATCACTTAAATAAATATGCATTTTTCATATTTACGGGTCAATTCAGAGGCTTTCAGATTTGAATTTGGAAAACGGACTTCAGAATCGAACTCAGAACATCAAAAAAATATAAAATAAGGTTTTTAAAAAAATACTTTTCAGTCAAAGTCAACTATCAACGGTCAGATCGGGCAAAGTCAACGGTCTGACCGGCCAATGGTCAACTCTGACCAAAGTCAACAGGTCTGGTCAAGTCAATGGTTTGGGACAAAGCGGTTCGGGCAGATAGGTAGGTTCTACCTGAACCGGTTCCAGAAATATCTTGGACCGACCGGAGACCCCCCACGCGTACTGCCAGTGCATGGCGGCGATAGGGGCGATTCTCACTGGCCGATCACTCCCAACACCACCGTGGCCTCAATTACAACCAAATCTAATCCAAAATCATCCTCAAGCCATACCAAAATACCAAAAACCGATTGGTAGCATACCCACGACGGCGATCGGCAACGGTGAACAAAACCGGTCGAGTTTTGAGCGCATGGCGACAGTGAATCCAATGGTGCAGGAGGTGAGGCGAGATAACGTCGGAGGTGACCAGAACATCGAAGATACACTCGGTGACGGGGATTTTCGACGGGACTTTCCGGTGAGTTTCACGACGAACGACGATGTTACGCGACGAATCGGAGGTCGGTTATGATCACCGTTCGACGGTGAATCTATGGCTGTAATGGCTCGAGCTGGGGTGGCCGGACGATGACTGAATGTGGCGATAAAGAGGGTCGGCGAAGAAGGGAATTGGGGGTTTAGGAATTTGGGCTAATTGGGGAAATTTTAGGTTAAACCGATTGGGTAAATTTATTTTTCACTAAGTCTAAAAATGAGCAAATTTGGATTCTAGTCCTTGAACTCTCTATAATTCAGACATTGACCCATAAATTTTTAAAAATTATCAATTTAGTCATTTAATTGAAATAAACAAAATGATTTTAAAATTTTCATTTAAAATCGGGGTGTGACAAGTAGGCCTTAGTTTTAAATATCACATTTATTTCTAGTTACCATGGGGGTGATTATTCACATATCTTACGCTGACCCCTGGTTGACTGATATCTAAAACAACACTTCGGCTAGCCACTCCTGTTGAATCTTCATTTTATTGACAATGAACAAACTGAGTAGGTGTACCCAACTGCTCCAACACGTATTGATCAACCCCAACCTGATGACGATGTCCTGCAACCGTTTGCCAACATCGGCAAAATCAACGAGATAATGCGTTGAATTTTTTTTTCACGAGATAGTGCCCTCGCCAGATTAATTGCTCAGGTGGTGCCCTCTACAGTCCGGGGGGTAGGTCGCCATGCACGCCCAGCTCGCCAAAGGTCACCATGCAGTCCATGCTTGGACTGAACAATGTTGGTGGTTTAGACATGGCCCTTTCCTTCTACCCTGAGTGTGCAAATGATCCCATGTCTCATTACAAATTCGTCCTCGCAATTGAAGCATTTGCCAAGCATGGATTGCATGGAGTCTCTGCATGGCTGTGCATGGTGGCATGGCAACGTGGCATGGGTCTCGCATGGGTCTGGGCGAGGTTGGAGTCTCTGCAGGGCAACGTGGCATGGGTATGGGCGAGGTTGGAGTCTCTGCATGGCTGTGCATGCATGCAACGTGGGTAGGTCGCCAGGGAATCCCAGCGACATTGTAGGTCGCCAGGGCATCCCAGCGACATTGTAGGTCGCCAAGGGATCCCAACGACCTATGCCTTTACCCCACTTTGTTGCCTCTGCGTCTCTGCTCCCATGCAGCGTGAAATCAGCTGCATTATTACAGCAACATGGGCATGAAATCAACTGCATTATTGCAGCACTTATTGTTGCATTATTGCCCGTGAATGTGAATCGGCCACCTATAATTGAAGCAAAGCCCGGTTGTTGTATTATATATTGGATGGATGGCAATTAAGAGAGAAAGAAAGGGAGAAAATAGCAAAGGAGAAGATAGCAGAGAAAAGAGGAAAAAAGAGAGAGCACAACATCTAGGTAAGTTTTTTTAATTAGTTTTATTATTTTAAATTATTAGTTTGTTAGTTTTGGTTTAAGTTAAAACAAATTTTAGTTAATTATTTAATTTGTTTGTTTGATGGTTATATTAAAAAAATAATTAATTAGTGTGTTAGTTAGTCTAATATTAATTAGTTTGTAGTTTGTTAAATAGTTAAGTTATATTT